GGGTTTGGGGCTTAGAGTTTAGATGAGGCATCTGGGACCATATTACTGGCAACTATCTCTACAAAATCCCGGCAGATATGTTTCCATTCCACGATGCATGTTCTTTCTCATTTGGTTCTCCCTCTTGCCCCAAACCCTAAGCCCTACAACACCGGCAATGCTTGAGGCTTCTATAATGTTTTGCCGACAGGAGCGCCAGCATCCTCGAAACGAGAATTCTCACAGGGTTTAGGGTTTAGAGTGTGCTGTGCTTGGCAGCTGATGCAAATGAGCCGGTTCAAGGCTTAGGGCTCAGGAAAAGCTACCGCAATTTTTATCAACATGCTAGCTATACCGAAAAGGCCAAAGGGAAAAAAGAACATGGAAGTTGATACAACGCTGCGGATGATATGGGGCCACAACAAATAACCCTTGGCTTACATTAGAAGTATCCCCTAAATGGACACCCCGAAAATAGACTCGCCAGTGTTCCTAAGGTACTCACCCGAAAAAAATACAAGAGACCTACCTCAAATGGATTTAGCACTGCTGGGGTGGCGAACCTCAGAAGTACCCACATCTCTCAAGACCAGGATCAAAAACAGCTGCTGCATGATGTCTCTCCTGCGAAAGGCATGCAGGGCAAATGCGTTTTGCCAGGCCGCTGTCTGGACAGTCAAGTTGCAGCATCACAAGGTGAAGATCGCATCTGGGTGCGAAACCTCCACTACCTACCTCACATTCCACTGGTAATCACCCCAGAGCTTCCACTTGTAGCGGTAACTGCACCAGTCCCACCAGCAGTCATAAGCCTCGTGGTACATCTCGTTGATCTTGAGGTTGAAAGTCTGGTGCGTGCCTACTGCGGCCTTGTACTCATCAATGCAAGCGCGCTCCTTGTCTGTCTCATAGCAAGAAGGCGCCCACACGATTTTGCAGGCTCCATCATGACCCTTTGACAAGGATAGGGACGCGTACATGGTTTGCTTGAACCATCCCGACCACCCGGTTCCTTTCATGTTGCAATACTGGACCACAGGCATCGTCAGATCGTGGACTGCAAAGTTGAAATTTGCAATGAACTTGTACTCGCCATTGATCCAGTACTCGCCAAAAACGTTGTTGTCTCCCACCGTCAGCTTGCCGATGAATGGATAGTACTTTGCATTGGCTAGGGTCATACAGTCATAGCCGATGAGGGACAGGAGGTGCGACAAACCTGGGAGGTTGTCCAAAATGGGGAAATCTATGTCGGGACCCGTCTTCTAGTAGGAGTTCAACTATAGGAAAAGGTAACATCTTGAATTTAGACTCAAACCCACCTGGAATGCCAATGCACAAGTTCAAACCCAAGTTCAGGTTGAAAGTGGTCATGACCGCCCTGCCAGAGCCGCAATCTTTAATCGCCGCCCCGATGCTGAACCTGGATTGCTGACACTACTCTATAAGGCTGCGAGGCTACTAAGGAACCCAAAATAAATTGCCAAGCCAGATAAAGGAGGGGCCTGTTTGATTAGAATATGATTTAGGGTTCAGGGGCCGATTTAATTGGAAGATATTGGAATAATGGGGTGTCGATTGGAACATGACATGGAAACTTGGGTTCTAGAGGGGTAATATAGGGGCATATTCATATGGAATAGGGTTTGACGTACGTTCTATCATGATTCTGCAATCATTGCAGGGGAACGATTTTGGTAATTGACTAGGCTCCTGCGTTAATGTGACTCGTCAACTCGTCAAGCAATGTCCAAGGGAAGCTCAAACATAGCTAGCCCGGACCCAAATTCAGGGAGGAGTTCTACATCTGCATACCCTTCTTATGCATCTGGATCCTAGTTGGGGTGTGATTTACAGGCCTTATAACTAAGCCCTAAACCCTACGCCCT